GTAGTGTTTTGTTTGGTTTAATGTTATCAAAGAAAGAGAAGTATTAGTTATAAGAAACTTGTTAAGAATATCCTTTATAATAGAATGACAAATTAATTAGTATGGATAAAATGGAAAGTTTCCGTTTTAAGGATGCTCCTAATTTGGAGTAAAAGATTAATTTTTTAAGAAAAATTAAAGGATGGTCACCATTCCTACCTTTTCTTCACAAAATATTATTTTTTATGCAAACAAGTGAAAGGAGGGGGGACATCTCTTCCTTTCATTTTCTGTTCTCGGACTTCACTCAATCCAAATATAAAATTAGCATTCTGGAGGAGTAAGGCCATCCCTCCTTTCTAATAGCAAACCAACTGAAGGAAGTCAGATAGAAGACCTGAAAAAATCATGATATAATATATATACATATATATATATATATATATGTTAACTCTGATTATATATATATATGTTAACTCTGTGATTATGTTGTAATATGAAAATAGAAAGCTACGGTCTTTCCATGTGAATAATATGATGGCTGTAGGATATTTTCTTGATAAACTTTATATTGTCAATCAACTATGTCCATTAAATTTGACCTTTCAAACAATTTTTTGAGCAAACCTTTCAAACTATTCTGAGTGGAATTTCAAAGTATATTTTTGGCACATAATCGAAATATTTCGTGCTTAAATAAATTCTGGATAACACATGATCCTGCATGAGCTGTGGAGCTGGCAGATGCTGAGAAACTGAGTAGCTAACAGAATGGTTACATGACGTGCGAATGAAAAATGGAACAAAGTTTTATGTTGTGAGATACTCATATTTCTAGTCTGATTCTGAGGTCCTATAATTGAGTCTCATTTCCCTTTGAGTTATCTGCTTTTCAGTGCATTTGTTTACAAATTCTTAATGCTTGCTGAAAGTAGTTGGGCTAATTGTGCTAAAATGCAATGTAGGGGAAGGTATACGAACATAGAATTCCAAGTGGTAATGGAGGTGGCAAAGATGGAACTCATGAATTTTGTAGGCAAGGATGCACTTTTAGCTGCCAAGAAACCGACTTCATAGATTGTGAGGTAAATAGAGGTGGGAAATGGCAAACTGGTTTTCAATTTTTCATTTCCACCTAAGAAACTGATTTCACTAACTGTAAATTACGCCTTCATTTGGTTCAGGAAAACATGTTTTACTTTTTAATTTTATATATTCATATATCTACTGAGAAAAAAATGTCATGTTTAATATGAAAATAATATTTAGGAAAGCAGAATACAAATGGAACATGACTTTGAAAAGAGAAAAACTGTTTTGAACATCTAAATGTTTTTGTGCATAAAAGGATATGAATTAGAAAGATACAAGATAAAAGGTAGAAAATGTTTTCATGTAATAAACACAGCCTATATCTTTCTTCAGCAGGCTGTGTCTTTTAGAAGCAGAAAGCAGTTGTCCCAAGTGAGTATCCATAGATTGAACAAGTCAGATGTTCAGAAGACTAGGTAAGAACATCTTTAATCCCCGAACAAGAACATATTGCAGATGATTGATTTGTCAATAAGTTTGTGGATAGTGCAATTTTGATTCTACACATTATATATACATATATATATATATATTTCAGGGGAGATAAACAAGAAAGGTGGATGCTTGGAGGATGAAATTTTTGTTAGTTTTTCTGATTGATTCTTGAATAATATATGTTAGTCATGTATGATGTAAACAAGTTCATTTTATAAATTTATGATGTAAAAAAATGAAGTGTTGTTCGCTGAAGAGAGAATGATTTTCTGATTCCATATGTGTTTGGCATATTCCTCTTAGAATGGATTGCTTTGGTGGGGTCGAGTATGACAAATATCAACCCATTGACAAAACCCAAAAAAGGAAAAGTCAAAAAGTTATCATGTTCTTGAATGATTGATTACAGGATTAACTCCCTAATATGTGTGTGTGTGTGTGTATATATATATATATGTGTATTTCTTTTCCCATAATTGATAACTTACTGTATTCTGCTACTTGCTCTTGTAAGGTCTTAGAAAGAGAGTATATCCATAAATTTTTAATAAGTTATATATATTTGATGTATAATTGGAGTAATTTTATTTATATATTTATTTTTGCAACTACATATTTATATTCTAGTAAAAGTTTTGGAAAAATATATTTAACTTTTAATTAAACACAGAATACCAAATTAGAATATTTTTTAAATTTTTTTAAAAAATCTCATTTTTATTGTATTAATTTTCTATTTAATGAAGAGAATGTTTGTAAATATATATATTTTGAATGTTATTATTGAATATAATTAAGTTGCTTCAAAATGACACTTTATTAATTAAACAAGTAGGTTAATTTTCAGAAAAAAAAATAATAATTAGAATGAAATTATAATTAAATTATTAATTAATGATTAATGTTGAAGAGAAGAGGAAGAGATAATAATAATGAGGTGGCGGGGTATATTCCAGTATGTTAGAGAGATGCGGGAGGCATATTGAGTTTGAGGAGAAGACCAGACCGTTAGTTGTTTGTTAAAATCCAAAGCAAGGTTGCTAGGAGAAGAGACCTTTAGTTGTTACTTTGTTCTTCATCCGAATCAACCAAACACGCCTATCCAGATTTCGTAATCCCTTCCTTCCTCGTAAAAATTAAATACCAACAAATCCATCCTCCGCCATGGATGCATTGCCTGCAACTTCATCTTCCTCCTCCTACCTTCTCACCAACTACCCTCTTATTTCTGCTCTTTTGGCTTTCGTTATCGCCCAGTCCACCAAGCTCTTTACCTCCTGGTATCTCTCTCTCTCTCTCTCTGGTTTCGAGGAATTTGGATCAATCGAGACATTCTTTTTCTTGTGCATGGAATGGGATAGTTGTTTTTTTTTTTTTTTTTAATGCTTTCTCTAATTGTTGAATCGTGAAATTTTCGGATCAATTTTAACACCGCTGCTTTTTTCTTTTTCCTATTCTCCTTTAAGATTTCATTTATTCAATATTGTTATTGAGCTAATTGCCTTTTCCTTTTTGCATAATTTCTTCCATACATACAGTATTTTCCTTTTTACTTAGCTTATGACCAAGTCAGTCTTTCACATGCTTAATTCCATAGGCATCGTTCTTTCTGATGGGATGAGCCACGGTTGGTTGCAGTTTTCTTTTACAATGTTGAATATGACAAAGTCAATGCAATATTTACTGAATTTAAGTAGGTTTTTGAGTTATCCCTAACTAGGTTTATCGGATTTTTCCTTTCTTAACTCGGTTAGGTGTTTCTCTCTCCATTTACGCTTTCATCTGAATTTCCTAATTTCTGATGGGGTGAGGATATTATTTGTAATAACATAGCCCTAGTAAGTAGAAGCAGAATTGGTTCAGTGGTAATCAAATGTAACAACTTGTACGATCTTATTCTACATATTTTAAATATTTTAGTAATTAAGCAAAACAAATAGAATAATGGAACAAAAAAGTAGCCTAAGAGTCTTATACTCTCCTAGATCTGCAGGTACAAAGAAAGACGATGGGATCTGAAGCAACTTGTTGGATCTGGTGGAATGCCATCATCTCATTCTGCGACTGTTGCTGCCCTTGCTATGTCAGTTGGGTTCCAAGAAGGCTTTGGAGGATCACTATTTGCAACTGCACTGATCTTAGCATGTGTTGTATGTTTCTTTCTTTTGTCATGCCATGATGTCATATTTGAAGCCAAAGTAATGAAATTTTAGATCACATTCAACCCAGTTACAGATTTCTTTAATGAAAGAAGAAGAATTTATTGAGATCCGAAGAAAGAATTTTATCAACTGATAATGAGACATCCTCTGCAGTAAATAGAAGAAGAGAAAAATAAACCCAAAACAGCATAGGAAAAATAAAAAACTAGCATCATAGAAAAGCTAAGTGTTGTGAATGAAGATATCCCAGTTTTGATGGAGATTGGAGATACTTGTATCGTGAAAGGAACCATGCCCGTTGGTCACCCTCTCCCTCGACTCAAAATATAAAGTATTTCTGTTGTTGAAGATTCTAGAATTACGAGAAAGCCAAATATACCATAAGACTACCAAGAGAACATCATGCCACAAAGTTGGCTGCTTTTCTTCACCCCATTCTTTTTTATAAAAGTTCTGAGGAAGCTCTCCACTGTAGGAGGCAAAACCCAATAACACCCAAACAACTTAAATTCATCCGTCCACAATTTCCAAGCTATCATACCAATACAGATTCTCTGACTTCATAGCCTAATAATTGGACATTAGGTGACATTTTTCTAATAATGGAAATTCTTATGCGATTGTCGTTCATGTTTTTAACTGTTGACTGTGTTTACCGAGCAAAGAGATGATTAACATAGAGAATTGCTTGTAGGTGATGTATGATGCAACTGGAGTAAGATTACAGGCTGGACGCCAAGCAGAGGTTTGGTGCTTTTTGCTGTTTTCAGTTTCCTTCCACTGTCCAATTCTTTTCTGCACATTTTTCATTTAGGAAAACTTTTGGCTGTTTGACAGACCATTTACCTGATCTATGAAAAGAAAATATTTATATGTTGCTGGATTTGTTTACCTTTCAGGTCCTGAATCAAATTGTATATGAACTTCCTGCTGAACATCCTTTGGCTGAGAGCAGACCATTACACGAACTTCTTGGGCACACCCCTCCTCAGGTTCAGGATATTACATAACATTTTTCACCATAATAATTAATCTATCGTTGTGACATAACTGCTGTTTTCTAAAACTGCAACACCCCCAGATCTTATTTCCCTGCTTTGCCATGTTATATCTAAACAATAGATGACCTCTTGAATCTTTTAAACAGCAAGAAGTTACAGCTGAGACCATTAAGAATTGTGGATGTTATATTTCACCAGAGAATTCAGATGCTTAAAAAACATCATTTGCAACAATTTCTAATCAAACCCATTGGATGGTGCTTGTATCCAAAAGTTAATTTTAGACACTGCTTAACTAACTCTCAGACCATGATGTTTGTAACATTGGAAGAGGCTTTGCTCTGTTGCTTTTCCAAAATGGTCACCGTTTTCAGTCTTTGATGTTCTCTCAAATTTCAGGTAATTGCAGGTGGGTTGCTTGGCATTACTACTGCAGTTATTGGTTATTTATTCATCATAGCCGTCAGATGAACTTGGTGCTCGGACAAGACCAACTCTGACATATACCTGATCATGCCACGGACTGCAGTTACAACTTGCAGATCATCCTTGAGCACAGGCACAAGCCGCCTACCGAAACCCCAAATGCTCATATTTTGTTGTCTATAAAATTGGTTCCACGGGTTAGTCCACAACTCTATACATGTTGGTAGCATCTCAAAGATGTAATTTTATTGAATTTGATTGATTGCAAGTCCGACCAGTAGTTCAGTACTCTAGCCATGAAATGGTAAAATATACCTTTACAGTATGACCTACCTGACTGTTGAAAAAAAAAAAATGACCTACCTGATTAATATAAAGAAACTTTTGGGATATTTAACAATAATTTTGGCTTGCATTTTCTTATTCAATTGTGAGCCCAAGATCAATCATCTATTGAGGATACAACTGATGAATGGTAAAATCAACGTGTAAAATGAATCAAACTATGATAGTTTCTACAGTACCAAGTGGCTATATGTATAATTGTGCTGATATTGATATTACTATATAAATAATAATTTAAATTAATTTTTTTTATCTAATTAATTTTATATTGTTTCACACAGTTATTCTAATAAAATATGCAAGTTATCTTTTGCTTCCTCTCTTTGTATACTATTTTGATAATTTTTTAGTACAAATATTTATTAAGAAAAAAGATTAAATGAGGTTTTCTCAATTGTATCAATAAACTATATCCGTACTCTGAGTTATTTCGAGTTTTAAATAAATTTAAATACTCAAAAAATATGTTGGATATACCGATTTATATCTCTTACACTAAATACGACACTCTCTTCTTAAAGAAAAAATAATTTATTTAATTTTATATTTTTTTTAAGATATCATTTATAATACATATTTAAAGCATGTTCCGATATATAAAATATGATTTATATAAATATTATAAATTTTTATTAAAATGTGATATAGGACTTATAATATATTAGGTTATTTGACACAAACTTTTTTTTTTTTTTTTTGTAACTTTTCACAAGTATAATAAACAATAACAGTTTTTACTTAAAAAAAAAAAAGGCTTTTTCACTGAAAATTTTAAGAGTAAAATGCTTCCTAAATATATATATATGTATCTACGACCCTATGACCATAGACTCCTCAATAAAAATGGTTACCCACAATTAATTAAAAGAATAAATAAATTACTAACCAACATGTAAAATACACCCAGAGAGCGCAGTTGAGGCCCATCGCAGCCACGTGAAAAAGGTCAGAAACCCTCACCTCCCCAAATAAATTTCTATTATCAATCCTGTCCAGATAACGCCTCTGACCATCTGACATCTTCTTTAATCACCGCCGTACACGTGTCATTCACTCCTCGCCCTACTCAGCTAGTAACCGTTAAAAGGACAACCGTATTTCAAAATTAAATATACAAACTCTCTCTGGGAACCTGTACCCCTTACTATTCTATATTTCTTTCTTTTTTTTTTTTTCCTTTCCCCAAGATTCCCCATTGCAAGTTATGGTGAATTCTTGTGATTTGTGAGCAAATTTAGCATATTCTACTCCTTCCCATGTAAATTACTTGTTTATGTTTTTAGCTTTTTACTGCATCTGTTTCATGTTGTGTTGTTATAGTATTTTAATGTTCAGTGGATATCAACTTTTTATCTCTGAAATTCTCAAAAATCCATGGTGCTGTTGAGGTATTATTCTCTGCCTGCAACACCCATCTGCCATTTGGTGCTATTCACAGTTCGCTCTGACTTCTCTGCTCACTGTTTTAGTGGTAGGGTAGAATTATTACGCTTTGATTGGTAAGATGCGTATAAGGACTGGCTTAGTTTCTGCTTTTGAGCTTGGCTGGTTTTTCCTTAATGGGTAGTATTTATGGCTTTAATTAGCTCTTTGATACTAAACTTCAACTGGGTAAATAGATATTTCTTGCTTTCATTATCTTTTCGATATTAGACTCCATATGGGTCCATTTTTCTGTTGGTGAAACAAGGTTTCAGATATTTTTAGGTCCTTTCTGTGCATTACACAAGTAATATTCTAGCCGTTGTGGGTTTAATTTCTTGCTATGGTAAACCAGAACCCTTTCTGATCTAATGTACAGAACGATTTGTGGTAGCTTTTCTTTCTTCCTTCTCGTTTTCAGGGAAGTCGTATTGTATGCTTTGTGTTTGATGATATGCGTGCTGTATAACGTTTTGTAAAAACTTGTGTTGCTGGGTTTTCAAGCAGATTCGCAGTTACATAAGAGTGAAATACAGCCTGTAGCCTGTATAATATATAGATTTAGCAATATGGGATGGCATCTGAGGTTTGGATCTGGACGTAGAAGTGATTTAATAGAAGAAGATTTTTATGTTAGTAGATAGTTTCTTTAGTAGTGTTTCGGTATACTTGCTTGGTGTTGAAAGAAAATGAGATCCGTTGAGGACAAGAGTTGCTATAACCTTGGAACAGCACAAGAGATTTCAAGCAGTATTAGTTTCGAGTTTCATAAAGGGAATGACAACAATCGCGGTGGTTGTCGTCAGCGAACAGCTCTGGGCAAACCAACACCATCAAAATGGGATGATGCACAGAAATGGTTGGTGGGATTTTCAAGAGGGGGAGAGAAAAGCCAGTCCAAAGCCAAACCTCGGAACTCAAATGCTGATGACAGGAGACTAATAGCCCCTGCTCCGCACAACTCCGGTGGTGAGGAGGAGGAAAATGACTTCGCTGCAGTAATGGAAACCGGATTCGAAGTGGAAACAAAGAAGGTGGATTGTGATGATTCGGTTTGGACAATCAACAAAGAGGTGCAGAATTCAACAAGTTTGGGTGTGAGATCAGTTTGTGTGAGAGATATGGGGACTGAGATGACCCCTATTGGTAGCCAGGAGCCTTCAAGAACAGCCACTCCAATACGGGCTACAACACCTGTAGCAAGGAGTCCTATATCTTCAGGATCCTCCACTCCAGTAAGGTGTCAACACGGCTACCAAACTACTGAGAACAGAGGTGGGGTTAGTCCTGTTCCCACTAATACAGATCAGGCTGTCAAGATTACTCACCAGAAGAACAATTGTGATCAAGCTGCAAATCTAAACCCTCTAGAAACCCGAGCAGTGGCTTGGGATGAAGCAGAACGAGCCAAGTATATGGCAAGGTCATTTCTACTAATATCCTTTCGCGTTCTTTGTTTATGTATAGCTCTGCTCTTGACTTCTTTTTATTTAGATCAATAACTAAGTACTTAAGCCGAAAAGTTTGGCTATTTTTTGTTGTCATGCTCATGTGGTATGTATTTGTTTGTTCTTGTAGGTACAAGAGAGAAGAGGTGAAGATACAAGCATGGGAGAATCATGAGAAGAGAAAAGCAGAAATGGAAATGAGGAAAATGGAGGTATATATTACTCATCCATAAAATTAAAATGACATAGAACTTACTATAGATTCACTGCTATTAGGAATTTATAAAGTTGACATATAATTCACAAATAAACATAATTTCACAAAATTAATGTGCATAGCAATACATAAAATCACATTAACAAATAATGAACTGTATAAAAATATTTACGGTATAAATAGTTCTTGTAAAAATCCAACTTTAAAAAAATGAATCAACAAAATAATCATTCTTCTGCTTTGTAGGAATCATAGAAGAACCTTTTTTTCTTTATTTTTTGAGAGAGAGAGAGAGAGAGAGTGTTCTTTTTCTCTATCTTTTTCTTTTCTGTTTTTTTACTTCACAGATTTTTAAATGGTAACTTCTCTTTTTTTTTATATATAATAACTAATAACCTTTTTGAATTTTTAGCGGTAACTATTAGGTAGTTAGCACTAATCTAAATCAGATCGGATCCCATCATAGGTGATTCACCCGATTAAATTCAACAACTACTTTCTAGCTCTCTCATATATACATTAAGTGAAGTTCGGAGTTAATTGGAAATTGTATAAATTTTTTATAATAATGTTGGAAGATGACTTTTTATTTCTTTCGTTATGTTTCTCTTTTCTTCAAACACTTGCTTACCCATAAACTAGAATACTTGTGTGTTCCTTGATGCTCAGCTTGGGTGGAATATGTTACTTCTATATGATTCAGAACAAGCAAATGTTTAGAAGATTAAGAACTTGCATTACACCCTTTTCCTTTCTTTATTCAATTTTTTGGATGAAGTACACCTTTTTTCATCACGTAGTTAGAATTCCTCTTGAAGTGAAATTCTCTATGCCTTCTCGGTGCCCTGCAACTTCAATCAGCAAAATAGTTGTTCTGTTAAATCTATCTAGGAAATAATATTAGCAAAGTATGTCCATTCATTATCCAGTTACTACGGTAGACATATAATAATGCAATCTTATTATCTCCCTCTATCATGGTGTCAGAGCTAGAGGTCCTATGCTCAAATATTGAGAACCTTATTATTCTCTTATTATTTGTTCACCCAATCTTTTTATCTACCGTTGGACTTTAAATAGCACAAACTCCCTCGGTCTCTATTTGGCTTGCATTCTTAGTTTGGCCGAGTCGTGCAAAGCACATTAATTTTTATTTGTCTTGCATTCCTTGCTTTGTGCTTTCTCCTTTCTTTGGCTCTGATCAAGTTTTGTAAAGCCCGATAATCAATTTGACTTGTATTCTTTGCTTTGTGCCTTCTACTTTCATTGGATTCGACTTCACATACTGATCAAATATGAACAAATGCTTGTCAAGTATTATCATGAGCATGACATTAGTAGTATGGCTTACACAGGTGAAAGCGGAAAGATTAAAAGCCCGGGCACAAGAGAGGTATTCGAATAAACTTGCTGCAACAAGGAGAATTGCAGAAGAAAAGCGAGCAAACGCAGAAGCTAAACTGAACGAAAAAGCTATGAGGACTTCTGAAAGGGCAGATTACATAAGGAGGACTGGTCACCTGCCCGCATCTTTCTCCTTCAAGCTGCCGTCATTTTGCTGGTAGCTTATTTGATTTACCACCTGCCAAATCTGTCTGCCATTTTTTGTTTCTCTCACTCCTTTCATTTATGTTCATGTACATGAATCTTGTGGATTCATTTGGAGAATGCCAAAAATGTCTAAAATTAATTTAATATCTGGGATCTGTTCCTTGTAATAAAATAGTAATTCGTAATTTATAAATATTTGTGAGAAAATCTCATGAAGGGTTTAATTAATTAAGTATTTTTTACCATTAAATAATTTATAGTGGAATAAAATATTTTTTTTATAAAAAATAATATAAAATTTATTGTCAAAATTTCAATATGGTTTCATTTAAGAAAGTAATTTAAAAGAAAATTCTTTTATAAATCTTTTAGAATGTAAAATTTATTTTAAAGTCATATATATATATATATATATATATTTTGTGAAAATAAATTAGTTTGAAAATAATTGTGATTGGAATTAAATTCTAGAAAATTTGTAAACTTGCTAAGTTATTTTCTACTTTGTAAAAATTTTAAAATACTCTTATTTGAGTAAATAAAAATAATTAATCACCGACTTTTAAAAAATAATAAAAAAAATTATAAAAAATATAAAAATGCTATTTCAATCTAAATATTTCCTCATTATTAAGCTCTATTGCTTAGTTTTTTTATTTATAATATCTTAATACTGATATTTGATTAATACTAATACTTGATAAGATAACTTTTATCATATTTCAGTAATAATTTTGTATAATATTTGAAATTATAAATTAAAAAAATTTTAAAAAATTACTGACTTTAATATGTGCTTATAGTTTGTCACATGTGTTATACGCATGAGTAGGTGAGTTGATTGTTTAATAAAAATTCTCTATGTAACATTAGAGAATCACATATTAATTATTATAATTTGGAATATAATTATCATAGTATCTTACGTTTTGTATCTTAAACAAATGCATTATTAATGGATGCTACTACAAGTTACAATTATTGATTTACATATAATGATTTATACTTAAAAAACTAAGAGGCTAAAATCAATAATATGTGCATTGACCATAATAGTAATTATATATAGATTCGGATTCTAAAAGCAATGTAAATAATAATTAAGAATATACTAATTCCAGTATAAGAATAATTCTATTATTATATAATTAATATTAACAATTAATTATTATTACTAAAAAAAATCTTTATAATTGATCTAAATATTAATTAACAGTAAGTAAAGATTTAAAAAAAATAGATATTTTTTTTTATAAAAAAATACTTTAATGTAGCACATCATAAGTGGAGTAAAAGCCTCCCATACACGAAACTCTGAATAAAATTGAGCATCCCTAATGATCTAGTGTGCCGCTATATTTTCTTGTCTCTAGATCCAGTTGACGGAAATGTCCGATTTTAAGGTTAACAGCTTTTGGTAGTCTTTAATAATGAAATTGAATTCAGAGTAATAATGGTTCTGTGTGGTAATAAATTTTGTTACTGATTAGACATCTATCTCTATTATTTTAGGTCATGTGATGTTTGCTAGTATATATTGCAGCATATTTTGACATTCTAATAATTTCACTAAGAATGGTGAGCTGCATCTCCAAATTTTTTTTAATAAAAGTTTTATTGCCGTCTTTGACAAATATCTGAATACGGCCCCGTAATTTACTGATGTGTTAGTATCGTAGTTTGCTAAATCCACATTGCAATTTTCAAGTGCATGGCCACTAGAGGGTTACCTTCCCAGTAAAGTTAGATAGTAGTTAAAAGATTTATTATTCTGAATATAAAGAAAAAAAAATACTATAATTGCATATTATATATATAAAAAAAAAGTATAAAAAATTTATCCTTGTATAAGATTTAATTTAAAATATCATTAATCGTATATAAAATTATTATCATACTTTGATATTGTAACACTTGGGATATTGTAAAAATTTATCTAACAATTTTTTGGTTCTAAAAAATTCAAGATCAAGTTATTATAGTGTACAATTTGTTATTAAATAGAGCTCAACAGTTGTATTTATTAATAATTTATGTATTTTAGCAAAAAGTATATACTATTTTTTTTTCTTAAAAAATCATTATAATAGATTGTAACAAGTTAAATGTAAATCAATATAGTTAACAATATGTATCACGGTTTAATATACAAGAAAAATACAAATATATATATGTATATATTATGATACCTCCAGTCATAATTGGATATTATTTTTAATAATCTATTTATTTATTTTAAATTAAATCAACAAGAAGGAAGCCAGTTTTCCCGATAAGAAGTCACAACGCGACCTAAAACGCCTTCTCGTTTGCGGTCACGTATTTTGCTTTATCCCTTTCCTCTCCTCCGTGCAGTGTTCGCCGCCTTTGCTCGTTCTCTCATCGGCAAGCCCTATCTATCGCTGTTACATCTTCAACGAGAGATCGAGATTCTTCGTCACCTATCTATCTCTCCCATGTTTCTCTGCTGTTCGTTTCCTTCTCCAATTTCTAGGGTTTGTCTTTGAACTTCATAATCCTCCATCCCAATTTGGGATTTTTTAATCGAATGACACGAAATTCAATTCGCTATTGAATTTTTCTTACTTATTTACTCTTTCTTGAGGTTTTGCTTTATAGATCTGAAGTTTGTGCTGTACGGTTCCCAATTGTATTCTTTTGGTCTTTGGTTGAATATTTAGGAAGAGAAAGCAAGATTGTTGCACTGTGGGTGTTAGGATTTATAACTAGCGAACTTCTTGTTCTTTAGATTCGGGTTTAGGGCTTCGTCAGAAGTTTGGATTTAGGCTCTTATATATGGCGGCTGGGAGACATGGGGGTTACCGTGATAATGAATTCAGAGACCGGGAATCCGAAATGGATGTGTCAAGGCGGGAATTTGTCTACTCCAAGGAAGATTACGATTTGGTTAGGAACGGTAGTCGGGACAATGGACGAGGTCAAGTTCGTGATGCCAGGGATAGAGTTAGGGTTAGACAGAAGGATATTAAGGAGAGGGAAGTGATTAAGGGTGGGTACCGATCTTCTTCCAGCAGGAGTGATTCAAGTAGCAGTGGCAGAGGTGGCAGCCTGGGGCCAAAACCATGTGGATTTTCCGTTAAGGTGGTGGATAGGGAGCCGGGTGAGTTGTCCAGCGAGAGCGGGTCTGATGATGCAATTGATTCAGAACCCCAGGTTAAAGATAGTGAAACTTCAAAGATGGTAGAGAATGGGATTCAATCTCCTGCCGAGAGGAAAAGAAAGTTTTCACCTATAGTGTGGGATAGAGATGACAAGGAAGCAAGTAATTTGTCTCGGAGTAGAAATTCCCCAGCAGTGACGGTTCTTCCTCTCCCCCCACCACTGCCTAGGGCATATCGCCAGTCACCTGATATCAATTTAGATGGAATACATATTTCAGCTGTAAAGAATAGTAAAATTCATCAAAATCATTCTCCAGGTAAGCCTCCAGTGGCATCCGAATCGGCTGGGTCTCCAGTAGGATTGTCTTTCTCACCTATAAAGGAGCAGCCATGGAAAAATCATCAGGAAGCGGAGCAACTGGAAGATGATGATTATGTACCTACCAGGCACATATCATCATCAAGATGGGCAGCTGGAAACAGTTCTCCAGGTGATGAAGGTGAAATATTGGATGATGAAGACATGCATAAAAAAAAGAGGAAATTGCCTCTGCCAGAATCCCAGCAAAGCAGACCACACAGTAAATCATTGACTCCTGAGTTTGGGGAGGTTAAGAGGGAAGGCTCAGAAGGAGCCAGGTCTAGGTCATTGGAATCTGATGATCATGGCACCCGTTCTAGGTCCATGAGTGGGGATAATTGCCCAGATAACGGTTTGGAAAAGGGTGACCACATGGAGATTGATGAGAACCCCAGCGGAAGTGATACTAGTATTAGCCGGAGCCATATTGATTCTGAGGATGAGAATGATTCACTTGAGACACCAGAACCCTTGGGTCCTCCACAAAGAAGTGTTAACATGCTCCAGGGATGTAGAAGTGTTGATGAGTTTGAAAGATTAAATAAAATAGATGAGGGAACTTATGGCGTTGTATATAGAGCCAGAGATAAGAAGACAGGGGAAATTGTAGCGTTGAAGAAGGTAAAGATGGAGAAAGAAAGAGAAGGTTTTCCACTGACTTCTCTTAGGGAAATAAACATTCTTCTTTCGTTTCATCACCCTTCAATAGTGGATGTTAAAGAAGTTGTTGTAGGCAGTAACCTTGATAGTATCTTTATGGTGATGGAATATATGGAACATGATCTGAAAGGGCTAATGGAGACAATGAAGCAACCATTTAGTCAGAGTGAAGTTAAATGCTTAATGCTTCAGCTATTGGAGGGTGTCAAGTATCTTCACGATAATTGGGTGCTTCATCGAGATTTGAAGACATCAAATCTACTTTTGAATAACCGGGGTGAGTTGAAGATTTGTGACTTTGGGTTGGCTCGTCAATATGGGAGCCCATTGAAGCCTTACACTCACTTGGTTGTTACTCTTTGGTACAGGTGAGCTGCATTAGCAATCTGTTTGCCTCCATGCTTAACAGGGCACAGCATGTGAACTTGTCTGTAAATTGAATCTTTTTTGGATCAAATTCCTATTTTCATATCTTTTTAATTATAGTTTATGGTTGTGAGCTGATCTGTCAGTTTATGGATGTGAGTTGATGTCTCAGAACTATTATTTTTCAGTCAGTTGATCTTACTGGGAATTCACAATTGTATGGTAGGTGTCATTGTACTGTCTTCAGTCGTTTTCTCATCTGTTAAAAATTGATGAATGCCGATTAGTCTCTCTAGCCAGATCCTCAGATTATTATTATTGTCATGTAGTAACTGTCATGCCTGTGTGTACGTTGGTCTTTGAATCTGAAAATTGAAATAGATTTCTTTTGTTAATTGCAATTTAGTTGGCTTGATAATAGGCTTTTTTGAATTGATCAAGCTATTAAAACTTGTTATCCTTCAATTCTTTTATTTGTATACATATACGTTATAATTTTTTTCGTATTAGAGGTAGTTAATATGTTCTGTTTATGCAGGGCACCGGAACTTTTGTTGGGAGCAAAACAATATTCGACTGCAATTGACATGTGGTCATTGGGCTGCATAATGGCTGAACTATTATCAAAGGAACCACTCTTCAATGGGAAAACTGAATTTGATCAACTTGACAAGGTAAATGGAATTGATTGATTTCTGCTGGTACTTGCTCAATGCTAAATCTGTTGTTCTGCTGCTGGAATGTTATGATGTGTGCTGTAATTGGTCTGCTAAGTATTCTACACTGTTCTTTTATGTTTGCAGATTTTTAGAACCCTTGGCACGCCAAATGAGACAATTTGGCCAGGATTTTCCAAGTTGCCTGGAGTTAAGGTCAACTTTGTCAAGCATCAGTGAGTACTATTTTCTTCTTTTTTTTTTTTTCAAAATTTATTATTCCACAAAGTTGAAGGGTGCATTCAAATTTTCTCATGCTTACCACTGTTTTCCCAGGCTTCCAGCTTTGGGTGATACTGGTCTGGCTTTCTGGCCTCCATTGGTGATACTTTCAGTTAAATACCTTTTTTTCTTGTTTGTATTAATAACTGACATGTTTTTTTCAGGTATAACCTATTACGTAAGAAATTCCCAGCTACTTCTTTCACTGGCTCACCAGTTCTCTCTGATGCTGGATTTGACTTGTTGAATAAACTTTTAACTTATGATCCTGAGAAGGTAAATGACTTTTTCTGCTTGTCTTCGTACCATTTTTGCTTTTGGTATTTTGATATATGGAACTTGTTGCTATAATTTACAGCGGATTACTGCTGATGCTGCACTTAACCATGAATGGTTTCGGGAAGTTCCTCTTCCGAAGTCTAAGGACTTCATGCCTACTTTTCCTGCTCAGCATGCTCAAGACAGGTATCTTAACCTGCAAAAGCAATAGTGTTGTTGATTTTTAACAAATTATTTAGTTCTTCTTATTATTTTTTCCTTGTTATTTTGATCTCTGTTTAGGCGTTTGCGAAGAATTATGAAGAGTCCAGACCCTCTGGAGGAACAGCGTAGAAAGGAGTTGCAACAAGGGGAATTAGGCACTGGTGGCTTGTTTGGCTGATGGTATCCCAGTTGATTCTGAAGATGATATGATCTACATGATTTGGATTCCTCATAACTGTCGAACGGCCATGGTTGAGGTGAGAGACATGCATTCAACGGAAGTTGCAAACATTGTTTGTCAGACGATCATTCATGCTGTTTTTTAGCAGGCAGCAGATATGGTTTGGAAGGAGAAATTATTTGCCTCCTGTCAACCAGATATCTTGCAGGTTATTTTTGTCTCTGGCTTTGGTGATCATGTAGAAATGCATCTTTGACACCATATGGTCTCCAAGGTGGGGCATAGTAGCCTTTCTTCTTTTAAAAATCGGTTTCAGCAGAAACTTTGTGTATGTAACATACTTCTATTGAAACATTGTAAACGTTTCTTATAAAATTTGGTTTTGAATATTAGAACAGTAAGGATATCTGCCCATTATGAGTTGCATCCTTTTTAATATTCACATTGTGTTTGCAAGAGATGGTGGTGTGAAGTGGAGGTGACGTTCTTAGCTTTTCATTGAAGAAGAAAATTGAACAGTAACAATTGTACGACAAAAGGTAATTTGTCATTTTGATAATACGTGTTATCTGGGACAGTTTATACTTTCATTTGCTTTTCACTCACGACGGATCATGTAATATGATATAATACTGTAATTTTATATCATGTCTTATTACATGCAAAGCTCTCTTCAGTTCTTTTTTTCATGATGTGGAATGATAGCCACTTTGCAGAAAATTTATTCTTTTGAAGTGGTTAATGAACCTATTATAGATCAGTTTAGTTGATATGTCCTTCTGGCATGAGGTTTTCATCAATAGCATTCATTTTAGCTTAAATAATGGAGCAAATTTGAATTAATTCAGAATTAATGTTTTGTAGTCCAACCGTCCAACCCCATGCAAGATATAATATTGGGTTCTATCCAAGCTTTGGACTAGCCATTGAGTGCTCGTGGCCTGGGGCGATGGTACTATTTATGGTTGTTGAGTCCAACTATAAAAACTGTTTATGTTGAATGTCCTTTTGGTTGCTTAGAAAATGCTTTTCTGTCAACTTCCCTTGAAGCATCAAGGAGGGTGGTGGGGATTAAGGTGCATGTAAGTAGGCTTGAAGTAACAATATCATTTATACTACATTGTCCTTAGCTGCAACAAGAAATTCGTTTTCTTATTTTGTTTAATCAGTAATTCTAAAAGCTTGAGCATGGGAAAATGAGCAAAAACACAGCGAGTCCTTGTCCTCTGGAATGAATAAAAGGATGTCCCTGCAAATGTTTGGCCAAATAGCTGTATGCAATTCATCTGATTTTATAAGCAGAAGTTCTATGCTATGAAGTTACATCTTGCTTTTCATTTCTTTAGGCAGTGTTGTCATGGAATTCAGTTGTTAAAGGGCATTTAGATCACTTTTAATAGGCTTTAATTTGATCGAATGATCAGTTTTGTCCTTTCTGTTGCTTTTCTTTTCATCTCATGAGATGATGATTCTAGTTTATTATTATTATTATTTTGAAATACCCAAGTGTAGATGATTCTAGTTTTTTAACTAGCCCCAGAATTTTTATGACAATGTCTGTAAATGTCACTGCAGTATCAAAGCAAGCAGGTTGAGGAGGTTACCTGCACGCTCTGGATTTTATAGAACTTCCAATTAATTGTTTCTTCTGGCTCACTAGAGGTACCATACAAACCTTGGTTTGTTACAATGTGTTGCAATTCTATGATTGATTGATTAATATTAACTTTCCTTAGGATATGATAGGTCTGGTTTTTTGGGGATACTTTTAGTTGGAAAAAATTGCTGTAAGCTTGAGTTTACAGCATTAATTGTGAGCACCGGTGTTTTAACCGTTTTTAAAATTGTTACTCTGTAAGCATTACTTTCTAGTGGTTAAGTAACTGGTATTCAATATATTTTGTGAGCTCGCACTTATTGTAACATTCTCCTTTTTAGTTTGTCAGCTGTAATCTTCCTTGAGATGTGCATACCATTGGTGTCAGAGTTAGATGAAATTTCTTGGAACCTTGTTAGATAATTTTTCTTCATGAGTATAATAATGGCTAGATGAAGTTTTAGTTGCCTTGCATCTTTTTAAAGGAAAGACTGGCAATTAGAATAATTTTTTTAAGGAAAGACTGGCAATTATAATAATCTAATGGAAATTTTATTTACAATAAGAGACAAGAAAAAAGCATTAACATTTTGATGTTAAGATGGATGTTGCTTGATGTTGTTGACGTCATCTCAAACTCCTTGGGATACATAAAGTTGTCAGTGCTCAATTGTGTTGTTGTTTTGGGGAGAAAAAGATGTTCACTTCATTATTTTTGTTTTTGTTTAATTAATATATAATTGCCATGGTCTAAGATCTTCTATATGTACAATGCCCTTTTTGCTTATTATTTTGGCATTCGTCAAGGAAAAACTCGACTTATTTGGTGGGAGTGGAATCCTCTCATGAAGAAGATGATGGCATTCTGGTCACATGGGTTAAGTAAAATAACATGGTGACTTCTAGAGTTTGATTCATTCGTAATATTTGTTTTTTATTTTTTATTTTTTGGATTTCCACTTATAATCCTTGAAAAAAGAAATACATAAAATACTTGCATGATAGCTGTTAGGTGGCAATTATTTCTTGTATATGAAAATATGAAGAAGTTGAGGCAAATATTTGGACTGCTGTTTGTTATTTTTTAGCTGGAGTGTTTCTCCTTTTCTCCTCGCTAATCAAAGTTGAACACCCAGAAAATGAGTGACGGCAATATTCAGGTAGAACTTCGGAGGGTTGTACATTTCTTAACCAGCAGTTTTCCCTTGTGATTCATTTTGTTAATTTCATTGAGAATTGGTTCACTTCTCAGTTCTAGTGCTGAGAACGGTATTTGTGACAGGCAATATTCAGGTAGACCTTTAGAATGTTTACATTTCTTAAACTCAGCAATTTTCCCTAATGATTCATTTTTGTTCGCTTTGCTTTCAAGAAGTATTCGCATTCCATCTTGCAATTGCTAGTTAAACTCCGAACTGAGAAAAGTCTTGCCTTTCTGTTAAGAACTTTTGGATCTCCTCTCCTGGGACACCTGAGTTTTGAGGTTCATTACAAATTTATGCATGGTTCGAACTCCTCTCGAATTCTCTTTTTAACCTTATAATCATAAATGAAAAGCACGTGTGGAATTATGCGTAGCGTATACTTTATATATATATATATGTATGTTATCTTATAGTTTTTTGTGTTGCCCTCATATCAAAGCTAAATGATGTTTTATGGTAGATGCTTTGGCTTGGGTTTTAACTTTGTTTCTTCTGGAAAGTTAATAATGAATATGATTTTTTTCATGCTAATATTCTTCACCGGCCTTTTGCTCTATTCCTTTCCTGGCATGTCTCCCTGCAAGCGTGGTTGTACGGTCAATGCAGATTGTGCCGGGATTAGAAACCCAGTGGAATTCAGTGACAGATTTAACTTCACATCCTGAGATCGAGAGTATGAAATGAAAACAAAAAGGTGATGAAAATGATGATACTGTTTAAGTGTATGAAAATATTTTGTTTATTCTTTTTCGAATTTATCTTATTTTAACATGAGTTGGTTAAAACTTAGAAAAATATATAGGAAATGACAGGAGATTAACACAAATAATTTTTGTACACTTTAATTGTTTTAGAAAAATAAAAAATATATATTTATGTTTCGAAGGGTCTCGGAGATTCTTTTAATCACTTAAAACTATGTATGCTGGTAAGTGGGTTGAGCTTGCGCTGATTTTTTAACCGGACTTGCGGGTCAACCTGAGTCTTGGTTCTTACGATCACTGGGCGCGACATCTGTTGTACTTTTTGGTTTGTATTTAGAATCAATTGCTTCTGAGCCTTCTTGCTGGTGTCTAAAGAGTAAGTTATAATAAATAAATATTAAGGATTAAATCATGGAAAAGTACAAAAAACCGCTTAATATTTTTAATAATTCAAGTTATTTTGTAGTATTTGTGTAAACATAAATTATTAGCAAATTAAAGTATCTAGTCATACTTTATTTAAATACATATTAAATATATTATTTAATTACGACATTATTTACTCATACTTAAAAAGTATTTATTTTTAGTTCAAATTTTAAATTAAAAATATTTTTATTTTTTAATAGTTAGTTTTTACTTATTAAAAAAAATACAATTATAAAAAATGTTATGAGCTTCAAAAATATGAAGATAAACTGATTATAATTTGTCACCTTAATTTTTTTGTTCACAGCTTTTTAATATATTTAAAATATACACATAAAAGTACTGTGTCTAATGTGAAAGAAATCAAATATCAATTTTAACAGTAGAGAATAAAATTTACCATTGGTGCAGAATTGTGTGAAAACAACATTTCAATCCCTCCCACCCACCAAGAAACGAAAGCCGTATAAACGAGAAAAAGAATATTTCAATCTCTCTCCCCCCTCACTCAAACGTAAAAAAAAGAGCCTCAACAAAGAAAAAAAAGCAAACAAAAACTAACAAGCAAGCATTTGAACTCAAATTCAATGGAGGAGAACGGTAAACAGTAATGCAAACCTGAGGATGGCGTGTGAAATTACGATGCTTTGAGTCTTATGTTGTTGCTTTGAATGTAGGAGGGGTGTAAATATCTGTTATGTTGTGTTATTTACAGACGCATACAACAACATAGCCAAGAACACAGCTTTGGAATTGTTTAGCCATGAGATCTCAGCGAGAGGTGAAAACAACGGTTTTTCCCAGCACAAATGTAACCAGTGTGAGTTCGATGAAAAATATGGTGTTCACAAGAGCCCGATCAACTGTCCATCCGAATATAGTGATGCCACCAGGATTCATTTGCAAATACAATACTACCATTGTCACAAACAAACAATATTCAAATTCTATTTTGATCCTCATACAAAATACATGGTGCTTTTTTAATAAAAAATTCAAAATAATGAAAACTGACCTCTTTAAGATGTACAAAAGAAAATTAACAGAAATTGACCTCTTAAAGATCTACAGAAGGAAATATCCTAGAAGTTTGATATCAATCCAGAAAACAAAAAGCAAATTTTGAAAGGCAACTAATACTCATGACAATGCTCAAATTGTGTCAGTATGGAAATAATATATTGCAAAGCATTTGACAGTCTGATTACTTTGTTGTATATAATCCTGTATCTTTAATGCAATAATATACACATGTAGAGGTTATTTGGAAAACAACATGTTCTTTTTAGCTCCTTTCAATCTCCTACCTTACAGAATTAATTCTTCTTAGGTGTTATAGAAACTATGAAGCATGTGCTCCTAAAAGCTTTTCTCATTGAATCTTCGCCTGACCAAGACGACCCAAAATATTTTTCACCACCATGACGGTCCTTGCTTAATGCTAGTAATCTACTCTTCAGGAGAAACCATAGCCTAAGAGGGCTTATTATATGCAAAGCATAACCCAGTCCCAGGTAAGATAAGAGACTATGCTATTCAAAGCACAGAGAGGTTTTCTAGTTTATGCAGAACTTTTTTTTAACTAATATGAACAGAATTCTTTGTGCTGAATAAGGAAAAATAACATGAAGATTTGGAATGCATACCAAAGGCTTGTCTTTTTTGGTACGAGGACATATATGAAGCCATCTGTGAATTTATTGGCATTGCAGCGTAATCCATTGACTCCAAATCACTCTCAGAATAGTTGATGTGCAGTTGGTTAAATTGGTTGGCTGCTTCCAAGTTTCCCATGCTGTTAGAAACCCTCAGGTGAGATGAATCTGAAGACCCACATGTTGAGAAGGCATGCCATCTGCTTGCAATTGATGCAATGCCTTGGGCTCTACTGGAAATTTTTGTGGCAGCATGCAGGCAGATAATTATGCCAACAACCTGGACTATTGAAGAGACCTAGATATTTGTGATAAAAGAAAAAGCAGGAAGAAATATAATTTTAATTTATGGAAGTTAAATTTTAAGGACAAAGATGTATGCGAAGTTAATTCTACAAACAAAAAGTGCATAAAAGTGATCAGATGTGCATGCATCCTATCTCCCTTTTCAGTGGAATCAGTACTATTTGAGATATAAATGGCTATGCATGCAACAACTGGACTTGTTTAACAAGATTTATTTGAAAATTCACTTTTGTTTTAATTATAAAATGCCAAATATCTCTTCTAAAATAATAAAATTAATATTCTACACAATTTCAAGTTTAAATTGACACTAGAAATCTATTATCTCAATTCCACTTGAATTGGTTTTGGTCAATTTTCATCATTTTGGAAGACATTTGCATTCAGTTAAAAATTAGTTTGAAATTATAAATGAATTCCACAAAAAATACCAATCGTTCCAAACAGCATCTATATATCCATGTATTCTTAATTAAGACTTAAAAGAGCACATGTAGTCCCATGAGCAAGTAATAAAATCAACACAAAGAAATAAGTGGAGCTGATACTTACTGCAAAATCACCACCATTTATGAAAGTAATAATCCCACTATAACCAGTAGTCTGGAAAAGAGTAACGAACTGGCTAGCTGTAACAACCAAAAACTGTAAGAGAAGAAAAATCCGAAACCTATGGCTTATCTTGGATAGGTGATACCGCAGCCGAATGTGCTCCTCTATAAATATCAAAACATCAGAATCACTTCCCAAGAGCTTTGCGTAATCATCAAAGTGAATGACTTGCAAGTTGCAGATTAAATGAAATAAAATGCTGGCTGATAGAGTGATAGTACTCACATAAGTCCAAGATAGAACTAAGGTCAATAAAACAGCAACGGAAATCCACCATGATTCGTGTTGTACATATAAAATGCGAATTACTTCACGCGCAGTCTTTAAAAGAAAACACGGCAGGGACCATAGTACCAGTAATCGCACAGATTCCTGTTAAAATAAGTAACCCAAGCAAATTCACTCAGTCTGATCTGTAGAAGATCTGGTCAAGATATCTCAATGAATATGATTGATTGCAACTCTAGCAGCTTACGTGTTAGAACAAACCAATAACAAACCATATATTGCGGCGGGAGGAATATGACTTTTCCTAAATTTCGAATGGTTAACTTGCAGGCAGTGAACTGGAAACAGAGTTGGAGAATAAGATAAAATATTTAGAAGAGATACATTGTAATAAAATGTACTAACTCAAAGGATGCAAATCTGGGCTTGATCAAAGAAACAAAAGCCCCATAACAATTGTGCTCTGGAACCTATATTTTTTCGGTGGCAGATCCTTCCGCCATTTGTTTGATAGGACAATTGACACAGAAGGAGATGTGGATAAATTTACTTAATCTCATTCAAGATTACATTCTTGCCTCAATAACATCCAAGCTAGACAAATAAATCAATATCCATTATAACTTTACTAGGATCCACCAAAACAAATAAAAAATTCTTAGAATCCATCAAAATGATCAAGAGGTCTTGAAACCTACCAACAAAATAAATTATTCATTCAAGAGTAGCATATAGGTTTTTTAGACTTAAATACTCTTCCTTTACAATTCATAAAACTTACATTTTATAATATTCTCAATATTAACTGTAAAATAACAATGATTACTAAAAAGAAAATTTATATTAAACTACTTAGTAAAAACACTAATTAAATAAAAAATTAAATTATAACTAATTTGGGAAATAAATCATGATTAAATTAAATATATAATACTTGATTTGTAATATATTTAGGAATTTATATCTATAATGAATATTAATACAGTAAACAATAATAATAACAGTACTCTATTATTCTTCTTCACATCCCACTGCTATTTAAAGAAAACTCAACCTTAAGTTTTTAAAGTATTAGAAGAATTATCTTTTAAGAAAAGTGTTAAAAGAATGAAAAAACTTGAAAACTCAATCTCAAGTTTTTAAAGTATTAGAAGAATTATCTTTTAAGAAAAGTGTTAGAAGAATGAAGAAACTTGATATGCGAACATTTTGAGAAATTAAAGAAAATTCTTAATTTGTGCTTCTCATAAAGTATTGACTTGGTTGTTGATGAAGCTAGGATTACTTTATGGCCCGTCAAAACTGATCAAACAACATCCATATAAGCTTACTGGCCTTTTTAACATGTTTTCCTGACCCATCAGGTTCTCTCAATCCAATTGTTGTATCAAAACCAAAATTAGGCAGTGGCTTCTATAGCAGCCGGCAGCTTGTGAGGTAGTGCTTGATTGTGGACCTAACTCTTTGGAAGTGGAGAAAAGGCAGTGCTAACACAATTCTTTCCTTCTTTTTTTCTCCTACGACGGTTTTTAATCCCAGGGGAAATCCTCTCCGGTTTCAAAGGTGACATATAAATTGTGATATTTGAGCAGAGGGTGGCGATTATCAACGACAGTTGTGACTAAAAGATGGGGGTTGGGAAGCCCTTTCTTTCTTTCTTTTGTTTACTCTGCTTTTTTAGTTACGTTTTTCTTTTTTTCTTTTTTCTACTTTTTTAGTTTCAAGGAGGTGGATTGTGGCTGGAAGCTGATAAATCACATTCTTAGTAAGATGATGATAGATCAAGATGAACTAGGCTTCTAGAAGACGGAAATGTGGATAAATTTACTTGATCTTGTTCAATTTTATAGTATCTCTTTGATTATATCTAAACTAGACGAACAGCCTACAATAATTCTCTAAGGCCTTACTAGAATCTAACAAGGAAATAAGAAGTTCTTGGAATTCACCAAGCAAATCTAGGTCTGGAATCACAAGAAAGAAATCATTCATTAAAGAATACAATTAAAGGATAACATATGAATTTATTCTAATTGAATATTTTCCTTTAGAACCCATAGAACTTATGTATTCATAGGATACTCGACGCTAGTGCTAAAAGAACAATAATTACGAAAAAGGAAATCTAATACTAACCTTCTTAATTCAATCACTACTTAAATATAAAAAATAACTAAGAAATAAGTCGTGACTTAATTAAATATATAATACCCGAATACTCTATTTAAAAATTTCGATCTATAACAAATATGAATATGCTAGATACCAATAGAGCACTATCTCTATTATTCTTCTCCTCATCACTGACACTACATCTCATAAAGCTGTCAAATATGCAAAAGAAAAGGATGAGGGAAGTATAAAGTTTCTACTATGACCATCTGTGATGGCTCACAGAGAGCAATAGTATCAGGGCTAGAAATAAAGTTGGTGATGCAAAGACCGGCAAATGAATGAGGTCAACTTGTATGAGTTGACCTAATGGTGACACACCAGAGAAATGGGCGTGATGAGTTTATTATTTTCTGTCTTTTGACAGTGTCCTTGCTAAACCGGCCAGTCTATTACTTCTTTCATGTTCTTATTTAGATTCTATCTTTTTGCGAGTTTGTTACTTCTTTCCCTAAATGTAGAAGATTCAACTAACTTCTATGTAAGACTTCCTAGAGCAGCTTTCTGGAACCAATCAATGAAAGTAAATTAAAACCTTGTATTTCCCCTTTTCTTTTCCAGATTCTACAAATTTCTCTTCTTTCCATTTCATTTTCTACTCTCTTCTACTTTTTCTATCCTCTTTAATTTCTTCTTAAGTTGGAAACTGGGTCCTTGGTCTCTTCTCTTAGCTTTCTCTAGTTTCCAAAGCCTGATTCTCATTTTTCTTCCCTCTTAATTCTCTTCCCTTTTTTATTCTCTGCTCCTTCTCCTGATACTTCTCTTAAGACTTCTCAATGCGGCTTTTTGGGACCAATCAATGAAAATAAACTAAAACTATTTCCCTTTTTTTTGCAGATTCTACAATTTTTTCTCCTTTCCATCTTGTTTTCTACTCCCCTCTACTCCTATGCCCTTCAGTTTCTTCTTAAGTAAGAAACTGGGATCCTCGAGCTCTCCTCTTATTTTTTCTCCAGTTTCCAAAGCCTGATTCTCATTCGTCTTCTCTCTTAGTTCTCTTCTACTCTCTTCTATCCTCTTCAATTTCTTTTTAAGTATGAAATTGGATCCTCAGGCTCAACTTGAATACTGTTGCTCAGATCGACATGCTTGACTATTAGTGTTCAGTGAGTATTGAGAACATCATAAGAACATAGATCAAAGTTTGGACATTTCAGAAGATTGTCCATGCAAGCTTTGAAAGCTCAACT